TTCAGTTGTGGGTACCGTAATTGTGAATATCTGCTTCGGTGAAGCTCCCTATGGGGCCACGAAGCGCTGCACTGGGCGGGGGGGAAACGCTGTACTGTGTGGGTGGTGTGCCGAATTGAGTTTCCGGGACGCATGCGGACGGTCCCACTAAGGGCTTCGGTGGAGCTCCCTATGGGGCCACGAAGCGTTCTACTGAGTGAGTGAAAAAGCCGAAGTGGGTTTCCGGGACGCATACGGACTGGCCCACTGGGGGCTTCGGTGGAGCCCCCCATGGGGCCACGGAGCGTTGCACTGCGCGGGTGAAAATGCCAAATTACATTTCCCGGACGCATACGGACGGTGGCATTGGGGCCTTGGGTGTAGCCCCCTATGGGGCCACGAAGCGCTGCACTGGGTGGGCGAAAATGCTAAATTGGGCTTCCGGGGCGCATGCAGACGGGGGCATTGGAGGCTTCGGTGGAGCTCCCTATGGGGCCACGAAGCGCTGTACTAGGTGTGCGGGACGCATGCGGACGGTAGCACTGGGACCTTCGGTGGGGCTCCCTATGGGGCCACGAAACGCTGTATCGGGCGTGCGGGACGCATGCGGACGGTAGCACTGGGACCTTCGGTGGAGCTCCCTATGGGGCCACGAAACGTTGTATTGGATGGGTGAAACGCAGAGAGGAAGGGGACGAGGCCACGAAACGCCGTACTGGGCGTGCGGGACGCATGCGGACGGTAGCGCTGGGACCTTCGGTGGAGTTCCCTATGGGGCCACGAAACGCTGTTTTGGGCGTGCGGGACGCATGCGGACGGTAGCATTGGGACTTTCGGTGGGGCTCCTTCTGGGGCCACGAAACGTTGTATTGGGTAGGTGAAACGCAGGGAGGAGGGCCACGAAACGCTGTACTGGGTGTGCTGGACGCATGCGGACGGTAGCACTGGGACCTTCGGTGGAGCTCCCTATGGGGCCACGAAACGCTGTACTGGGTGTGCGGGACGCATGCGGACGGTAGCACTGGGACCTTCGGTGGAATTCTCTATGGGGCCGGTGAAACGCAGCGAGGAGGGGGAGGAGGGCCACGAAACGCTATGCGGGGTGTGCGGGACGCATGCGGACGGTAGCGCTGGGATTTTCGGTGAAGCTCCCTATGGGGCCACGAAGCGCGGTACTGGGTGTGCGGTACGCATGCGGACGGTAGCATTGGGACCTTCGGTGGGGCTCCCTCTGGGGCCACGAAACGTTGTACTGGGTACGTGAAACGCAGGGAGGAGGGGGAGGAGGGCCACGAAACGCTGTAGTGGGCGTGCGGGGCGCATGCGGATATTAGCACTGGGACCTTCGGTGGAGCTCCCTATGGGACCACGAAGCGTTGTATTGGGTGTGCGGTACGCATGCGGACGGTTGCAGTGGACCTTCGGTGGGGCTCCCTACGGGGCCACGAAACGCTGCACTCGGTGGGCGAAACGCACGGAGGAGGGGGAGGAGGGCACACGAAACGCCGTACTGGGCGTGCGGGACGCATGCGGACGATAGCACTGGGACTTTCGGTGGAGCTCCCTATGGGGCCACGAAACGCTGTACTGGGTGTGCGGGACGCATGCGGACGGTAGCACTGGGACCTTTGGTGGGGCTCCCTACGGGGCCACGAAGCGCTGTACTGGGTGGGTGAAACGCAGGGAGGAGGGGGAGGAGGGCCACGAAACGCTATACAAGGTGTGCGGGACGCATGCGGACGGTAGGCTCCCTGTGGGTCCACGAAACGTTGTATTGGGTGGGGGGGGAGGAGGGCCACGAAACGCTGTACTGGGTGTGCGGGACGCATGCGGACGGTGGAAAGGAGGAGGGGGCAGAGGAGGAGGGGAGAACGCGGGGACCGTCTCTTCAAAACGAGGACCCAACACCACAGGATGGTTGGGAAAAATAAGAAAAGAACACTCACAAAACATGCGATTTCGGAGGAACCTTGGCCCCGTCCCGTTTCCCCAGAAGTTCTCCTGAAATCGTAGTTTGTTTGGCTTGTTGGTGTTATGTTGTTTTGTGTCTTTAGTTTTTGCTGGGGGGGGTCAGCGCTTTTCGCTCACAGAGGAAATCCTTTTGCATCCCGCCTGAAAAAGAAACGTTTTTGCACGCCGCCATTAAAGGATTCCTTTTTTCTTCCGCCACGAGAGGAATCCGTTCCTACTGTGCCGTAGTAGGAATTTGTTTTGTATTCATTCCACCACTGAAGGAATCCTTATGTAATCCACCACCAAGGAAATCCTTTATTCCGCCACGACAGGAATCCTTTTTTGCATTCTGCCACAAAGGGAATCATGTTGTATTCCATTGTGTACTCGGCCACAAGGATTCTCTTTGAATTCCGCCACAAAAGAATCCCCTTCTGTGTGTGTATGTTGAAAATACAAATGTGTGTGTGTGTATATATATATATATATATATATAAATATACGAGGCCCGGGCGCCCAGGGCCCGTGGTTCGGGAGGGCGTGGGCAGACTGCCCCAGAGAGCACCCCGGGGAGCTCCCAGAGCACCCCGGAGCGGCCCTGGAGCTCCCAGATTGCCCCAGGGAGCTACCAGAAGCCCCCGGGGACTTCGACAAGCCCCTCCAAGACAGCCCCAACGTGGCCCCAACATAGCCCCAAATGGGTTCGAGACCGCAAATACAAAGCCCAAGAGGCCTCCAAGAGGCCTCCAGAGACCTCCGAGAGGCGTCCCGAGAGAGCCCGAAGAGGCCCAAATCCTTGATTTTCATGTCTTTGTTTCTCTATGTTTTTCGGTGTCTCGCGTTTTCGACCTTCCGACGCTCCTTGACAGCCGACGACGCCCCCAAGACAGCCCCAAGACAGCCCCAAGACCGCCGAAAAGGCCCCCAACAGAGCCCAAAGACTGCCCCAGGGAGCCCGAAAATTGACCGGGACGAGCCTCAGACGGCCCAAGAGAGCCCCAGGACAGGCCCAAGTTGGGCCCCAGAGCGCTCCAGAAGGCCCTGAGGCCCCAGAGCGCTCCAAGAAGCTCCGGGAGGCGCCAAGGCGCTCCAAGACGGCCTTGATGGCCCCAACATGGCCCCAGATGGGCCCAACACGGCCAATACACACCCCAAGAGAAATCCAAGAGGCCCCACGAGAGCTCCGAGAGGCGTCCCGAGAGAGCCCGAAGAGGGCCATATCCTTGATTTCCGGACGTTTGTTCAAGTATTGTTCGTTTTCTTGTGTTCTCGAGTTTCCACCGCTCCAAGACGGCCCGAAGATCGCCCAAAGACCGCAGAAGAGGCCCCAAGAAGAGCCCCAAGACGGCCCCAGAGAGCATGAAAACTGCCCAGGAACAGCCCAGAATTGCCCACAAGAATCCCAGGAGAGGCACAAGATGGGCCCCAGAGCGGGAGTGGGAGCCCCCAGGGCGCTCCAAGACGGCCGAGATGAGTCCAACGTGCCCAAGAGGAGCTCAAGACGGCAAGCACACAGCCCAAAAGGTCTCCAAGGGGGCCCAAGGGAGCTCCGAGAGACTTCCCGAGAGGGCCCAAAGAGGCCCACATCATTGATTTGCATTGGTTTGTTCGATGTTTTACGCTTTCTCGCGTTCTCGAGCTTCCAATGCTAGAAGACAGCCGCAGACGTCCCCCAGACCGCCCCGAGACCGCCGAAGAGGCATCCAAAAGAGAGGTGGGGGTGGGGGGGGGGGCGTGTGGGGGGGGGGAGGGTTGTGTGTGTGTGTGTGTGCGAGTATGTGTGTGTGTGTGTGTGTGTGCGTGCGTGCGTGCGTGCGTGCGTGCGTG